CACCAAGATGAATCGAGGTGTCTGTTGTCTTGATGTTTATGGCTTGAGGAAAGACCCCAACAGAGCCATGTCATAAATGACACACACACAAACATACACACTGACACACGAACCCCCCCCCACCACCGACACACGAACCCCCCCCCCACCACCGACACACGAACCCCCCCCACCGACATACGATCAGATCAAAGATAGCTCCACCTCGTGAGGGGGAGCCGAGAAGGGGAGAGATTTTTGGCATAAAAAGGAGCCGTTTCAGCATTGAAATCAGCTCATCAGCCCTCGGGGCCAGCTCATCAGCCCTCGGGGCCAACTCATCAGCCCTCGGGGGCAGCTCAACAGAAGAAGACTCATCTCAACTCAGCTCAACAGAAGAAGACTCATCTCAACTCAACTCAGCAGAAGAAAAACTTGACCTGTCGCTCGCGAGCGCAGCGTCAGCTACTACAGCAGCGGAAAGAGCGCGCGCCGGCGTAGCTCATCCAGCAGTGGAGGAAACTGCTGTCAGCGAATCAGCACGGAAGCGTTCGCGCATCTTCAAGGAGAAAGAGCGCGGCCAGCAACGCCAAGCAAGAGCGTGCAGCAGCTCAGCCAGCAGTGGAGAGAAACTGCTGTCAGCGAACCAGCACGGGCGCGTTCGCGCATCTTCAAGGAGAGGGAGCGCGCGCCACCAGCGTGCCATCAGCACCTGCATCAGCACCAGCGCATGCCAACAGCGTGCCATCAGCACCTGCATCAGCACCAGCGCGCGCCACCAGCGTGCCATCAGCACCTGCATCAGCACCAGCGCATGCCAACAGCGTGCCACCAGCGTGCTACAGCGCGCAACTTCGCGTCACCAGGGCTGAGAGGGAAGCGGCCCCGCACTCAACGCCCATCGGCGCGACGACGGCGAGCGTCGTGCTGACTCTTCCAGCCAGCAGTGGACAGAAACTGGCAGCCGTTCGTATGCCCCAACCCCTCCCCCACACTCTTCCCCTCACTCCCCCACCGCGCCGCAACACACAGGAAACACATTTTGGACACACGAGATGCTAACCTCGGCGTCTGCTTTACGCAAAGAATTGAACCAGTGATAACGAAGACACGATACGCATATCGGGATAATCAAGAAGGGTTGCCACTCCAAGGTACGGCATTAAAAATCAATTCATAACGAAAAATTCTGCTGTCATTGAGTTGCATAATAACCAATCGTCCTACTGTAAAAAACGTGATAAGAATTGACTTGAAGGTCTATGAATGGATGTGGTACTCTGTGGGCAATGTTTAAATACGAATTCACATTATAAGGTTAAGGTTTTGATAGAATAGTTCACTTGTTTTTAATCTCTCTCTCAACAACCGATCGATTGCGTTACACGTCAGGAATTAACCACAGGTGCCGCTATCGAGGTGAAACAACGCAATCGTGATGGTATCGTGTTAACGCTGTGTTGAAATTCCAAATCCCGAGATTGAGTTTTTCATATTATCCAAAAATTAAAGTTAGCTAGAAATAAAATTGATTAAAGCAGAAGGTTTGTGTGTGATTCTTCCTGAAATTCTGCATAATATTGTTCTGCGTATGAGATCTGAATCCTGGGGACCTATCATAAGCACACTATCACCACATAATCCATAACACACATAATCCGTAATGTTCAATCGAGAGTAATCGTATCCTTATCGATAATACGGAATTGAAGAGCAGAGTCGAATCGTCTCTCTCTCATTCACGCTCACAACGCCTGCGTCACTGCATACGATTAATTGCGTTATTCCAATTCATAACACAATCCTCGTCACCGAGGCTCGACCTGATAATCCATAACGACCTGCATTATCATAACCACGCCCACTCGCATAAATTAATACGATTATCTCTCGAATCAGCATAATTTATGCACATAATTACACTAATTAACATGATTTCGGATAAATTATGCAAATCTCAAATTTCATTTAATTTTCATTATTTTCATCAATTTTCATAACACCTATATATACAACACCACGTTTCGCAAGCGTAGAGAAGGGGAGGGGCATGACTCTGGCCAAGAAGACTCACCCACTCACTCACCACACTGGAGGTCACGGGCGAACGCACTCGCTCACCCACTTACCAACTCAACCACACACCCACTCAACCACTCACAAATCTACTCATCCACTCACTTACCTACTCACCCACTCACTTACCTACTCACCCACCCACTCACCTACTCCACCACACACTCACTCTACTACTCACTCACCCACTCTACCACTCCACCACACACCCACTCTACCACTCCACCACACACCCACTCTACCACTCACCCACTCCACCACTCCACCACACACCCACTCCACCACTCCACCACACACCCACTCTACCACTCCACCACACACCCTCTCTACCACTCCACCACACACCCACCCTACCACTCCACCACACACACACTCTACCACTCCACCACACACCCACTCCACCACTCACACTTCCACTCGCCACACTTCCTCGCTCTCACACCTCACCGCCAAAGACAAAGATCCCCGGTGTAGCCTTGACAGACTTTTGGGGCAAGTCCTGTAAGCGAGTAGCAGCACCCATGACGGCCGGCACGTCCCTACGCCTGCCCGTCCGCCTTTGTCTCCCCCAGTGACGATGCTTGCTCACAGCACCAGGTACTCATTTGAGGCCGAGTCCACCTAGGCGCGAGCCAGCACCGGTTGATCGCGAGTGGGAATCGAACCCCGCCCGGGGTCGCCGGGCGTGGCGCGCTAACCACTGCGCCTCCGCTCACCCCAAACACCCCCACCACCACCACAACCACCACCACAACCACCACCACAACCACAACCACCACCACAACCACCACCACAACCACAACCACCACAACCACCACCACCACCACAACCACCACAACCACAACCACCACCACAACCACCACCACAACCACCCCCACCACCACCACCACCACAACCACCACCACAACCACCACCACAACCACAACCACGACAACCACCACCACCACCACAACCACCACAACCACCACAACCACCACCACCACAACCACCACAACCACCACCACAACCACCACCACAACCACCACCACCACCACAACCACCACCACAACCACCACAACCACCACCACCACCACAACCACCACAACCACCACCACAACCACCACCACAACCACAACCACCCCCACCACCACCCCCACCACCACCACCACCACAACCACCACCACAACCACCACCACAACCACAACCACCACAACCACCACCACCACAACCACCACAACCACCACCACCACAACCACCACAACCACCACCACAACCACCACCACAACCACCACCACCACCACAACCACCACCACAAACACCCCCACCACCACCACCACCACCACAACCACCACAACCACCACCACCACAACCACCACAACCACCACCACAACCACCACCACAACCACCACCACCACCACAACCACCACCACAACCACCACAACCACCACCACAACCACCACCACAACCACCACCACCACCACAACCACCACCACAACCACCACCACCACCACCACAACCACCACAACCACCACCACCACAACCACCACAACCACCACCACAACCACCACCACAACCACCACCACCACAACCACCACCACAAACACCCCCACCACCACCACCACCACCACAACCACCACAACCACCACCACCACAACCACCACAACCACCACCACAACCACCACCACAACCACCACCACCACCACAACCACCACCACAACCACCCCCACCACCACCACCACCACAACCACCCCCACCACCACCACCACCACCACAACCACCACCACAACCACCCCCACCACCACCACAACCACCCCCACCACCACCACCACAACCACCACCACCACAACCACCACCACAACCACCACCCCCACCACCACCACAACCACCACCACCCCCACCACCACCACAACCACCACCACAACCACCCCCACCACCACCACCACAACCACCACCACCACCACCACAACCACCACCACCACCACCACAACCACCACCACAACCACCACCACAACCACCACCACAACCACCACCACCACAACCACCACCACAACCACCACCCCCACCACCACCACAACCACCACCACCCCCACCACCACAACCACCACCACAACCACCCCCACCACCACCACCACCACAACCACCCCCACCACCACCACCACAACCACCACAACCACCACCACAACCACCACCACAACCACCACCACCACAACCACCACCACAACCACCACCCCCACCACCACCACAACCAACCCCACCACCACAACCACCCCCACCACCACAACCACCCCCACCACCAAAGATCCCCCATATAGCCTTAACGGACTGTAGGGGCAAGTGCTGTTAGCGAGCACCTATGAAGGCCAGAACGGTACACGAGGGGGTGGGTGGCCAGCACCACGCCCGACCGCCTTTGTCTCCCTAGTGGCAATGTTTACACACCGCACCAGCTACTCATTTAAGGCTGAGTCGACCTAGGGGAGGCCCAGGACCGGTTCAGATAATCGTCACTGGTGATGGCCGTGAGCGGGAATCGAACCCGGGTCGCCAGGTTCATAGAGCAGCGCGTTAACCACTACACCACTGCTCCCCACCACCACAACCACCCCCACCACCACAACCACCACAACCACCCCCACCACCACCCCCAGCACCACAACCACCACCCCCACCCCCACCCCCACAACCAGCCCCACCACCACCACCACCCCCACCACCCCCACCACCACCACCACCCCCACCACCCCCACCACCACCACCACCCCCACCACCACCACCCCCACCACCACAACCACCACCCCCACCACCCCCACAACCACCACCCCCACCACCACCACCCCCACCACAACCACCACCACCACCACCACAACCACCACCCCCACCACCACCACCACAACCCCCACCCCCACCCCCACCCCCACCCCCCCCACCCCCACCCCCCCCACCACAACCACCACCACCACACTCACCTCCCCACACACTCCCTGCGCATTCCTAACGTGGGCAGAGGAGCCACTCCCCTGCTCATGGGCTTGCCCGGAGGTCGGTGGCTGTCCAACCCCTCTCTCTCTCTCCCTCTCTCTTGTTTTACGATCAGAGGAAACAAGAAGACGCTCCTCGTAGTCGGCACTTTGCTTCGACCTCCTGCATACCAGGCGAGGTAGTTAACATTTCCTAGCCACCGTGGCAGCATTGGATGCAAATCACAGTCCAAACACACTGGAGCGGTTCAACACTGCCCATAGACTCAACACTACCCATAGACTCAACACTGCCCGTAGACTCAACACTGCCCATAGACTAACACTACCCATAGACTCAACACTACCCATAGACTCAACACTGCCCATAGACTAACACTACCCATAGACTCAACACTGCCCATAGACTAACACTACCCATAGACTAACACTACCCTTAGACTCAACACTACCCATAGACTCAACACTACCCATAGATATTCATATTCTTAGTTCTTTCGGTAAAGTCACGTTGAAGGGAAACAACAAAATAATAAAATATATATGTTGTTTCCCTTCAACGTGACTTTACCGAAAGAACTAAGACTATTAATTACTGTAGTCACGAAAGCTTTAAATCAAAACTACCCATAGACTCACACTACCCTTAGACTCACACTGCCCATAGATTCAACACTGCCCATAGACTCAACACTGCCCATAGACTCAACATTGCCCATAGACTCAACACTGCCCATAGACTAACACTACCCATAGACTCACACTGCCCATAGACTCAACATTGCCCATAGACTAACACTACCCTTAGACTCAACACTACCCATAGACTCAACACTACCCATAGACTCAACACTGCACATAGACTCAACACTGCCCATAGACTAACACTACCCTTAGACTCAACACTACCCATAGACTCAACACTACCCATAGACTCAACACTGCACATAGACTCAACACTGCCCATAGACTCACACTGCCCATAGACTCAACATTGCCCATAGACTCAACACTGCCCATAGACTCAACACTGCCCATAGACTCAACACTTCCCATAGACTAACACTGCCCGTAGACTAACACTGCCCATAGACTCAACACTGCCCATAGACTCAATACTACCCATAGACTAACACTGCCCATAGACTCAACACTACCCATAGACTCAACACTGCCCATAGACTCAACACTGCCCATAGACTCAACACTGCCCAAAGACTCAACACTGCCCATAGACTCAACACTGCCCATAGACTCAACACTGCCCATAGACTCAACACTTCCCATAGACTCAACACTTCCCATAGACTAACACTGCCCATAGACTCAACACTGCCCATAGACTAACACAGCCCATAGACTAACACTGCCCATAGACTAACACTGCCCATAGATTCAACACTACCCATAGACTCAACACTGCCCATAGACTAACACCGCTCATAGACTCAACACCGCTCATAGACTCAACACTGCCCATAGACTCAACACTGCACATAGACTCAACACTGTCCATAGACTAACACTGCCCATAGACTCAACACTGCCCATAGACTCAACACCGCTCATAGACTCAACACCGCTCATAGACTCAACACTACCCATAGATTCAACACTGCCCATAGACGCGCGTGTACACACAAAGACAAAGATCCCCCGTATAGCATTAACATACTGTTGGGGCAAGTGCTGTTAGCGAGCACATGTGCATACACACACTCACCCCTACACTCACTCACCTATGCACTGACCCCCTACACTCACTCACCCCTACACTCACTCCTGCACGCGCTCACCCCTACACTCACTCACCCCTACACTCACTCACCCCCACACTCACTCACCCCTACACTCACTCACCCCCACACTCACTCACCCCTGCACTCACTCACCTATGCACTCACCCCTGAACTCACTCACCTATGCACTCACCCCCACACTCACCCCCACACTCACCCCCACACTCACCCCCACCCTCACCCCCACACTCACCCCCACACTCACCCCCACACTCACCCCCACACTCACCCCCACACTCACCCCCACACTCACTCACCTGCTGCCGATCGAGGACTCACGTCGATTCGAGTGAGGAGAGTTCGATTTAGCGCATTTGTTATGTACAACAATCGATTCCACGCTGAGAAGTGTAATAGGATCGATTCTTCGATTGCCATTCGATTCGTATGAGAAACAATGGGAGTCGATATGTTTGGTTTAGACTAAAATCGATTCCTTCAATGCTGAGCCATGCCCCCGGTTCAGACCAATCAGCCACAAGAACGGGAACGCCCCCGCCGAGCACTCCCCCTTAGGTGCCAGATTCCTCTCTTCAGGACAGAGGTTTTACCTCTACACCAAACTCCTCTCTTCAGGACAGAGGTTTTACCTCTACACCAGATTCCTCTCTTCAGGACAGAGGTTTTACCTGTACACCAGATTCCTCTCTTCAGGACAGAGGTTTTACCTCTACACCAGACTCCTCTCTTCAGGACAGAGGTTTTACCTCTACACCAGATTCCTCTCTTCAGGACAGAGGTTTTACCTCTACACCAGACTCCTCTCTTCAGGACAGAGGTTTTACCTCTACACCAGATTCCTCTCTTCAGGACAGAGGTTTTACCTGTACACCAGATTCCTCTCTTCAGGACAGAGGTTTTACCTCTACACCAGACTCCTCTCTTCAGGACAGAGGTTTTACCTCTACACCAGATTCCTCTCTTCAGGACAGAGGTTTTACCTCTACACCAAACTCCTCTCTTCAGGACAGAGGTTTTACCTCTACACCAGATTCCTCTCTTCAGGACAGAGGTTTTACCTCTACACCAGACTCCTCTCTTCAGGACAGAGGTTTTACCTCTACACCAGATTCCTCTCTTCAGGACAGAGGTTTTACCTCTACACCAGACTCCTCTCTTCAGGACAGAGGTTTTACCTCTGCTCCAGATTCCTCTCTTCAAGACAGAGGTTTTACCTCTACACCAGACTCCTCTCTTCAGGACAGAGGTTTTACCTCTACACCAGACTCCTCTCTTCAGGACAGAGGTTTTACCTCTACACCAGATTCCTCTCTTCAGGACAGAGGTTTTACCTCTACACCAGATTCCTCTCTTCAGGACAGAGGTTTTACCTCTACACCAGATTCCTCTCTTCAGGGCAGAGGTTTTACCTCTACACCAGATTCCTCTCTTCAGGACAGAGGTTTTACCTCTACACCAAATTCCTCTCTTCAGGGCAGAGGTTTTACCTCTACACCAGATTCCTCTCTTCAGGACAGAGGTTTTACCTCTACACCAGATTCCTCTCTTCAGGACAGAGGTTTTACCTCTATACCAAATTCCTCTCTCCAGGACAGAGGTTTTACCTCTGCTCCAGATTCCTCTCTTCAGGACAGAGGTTTTACCTCTGCTCCAGATTCCTCTCTTCAGGACAGAGGTTTTACCTCTGCACGAGATTCTCACACCGGCCACGCGGTGGTGCTGTCCCGCCACGTCGGCAGAGTTTACAAAGACAAAGATCCCCCGTATAGCCTTCGACAGATTGTTGGGGGCAAGTGCCGTTCACGAGCGCATCCTCCACTCGCTCACTGCAGGACGAGGGCCGTTTCACACAAAACTCCACGCAGACAGAGCGCCCGGGTTGGGATTCAAACCCAGGCGGCTTCTTGCTGCGAGTCCACGTGCACCAGTGAGGGCCCGCACGGCACACAAGGTGGTAGTGGGGCGTGCACCACGCCCGGCCGTCTTTGTCTCCCCTGTGACGATGTTCACTACACATCGCACCAGGTGCTCATTTGAGGCTGAGTCGACCTAGGGGAGGCTCAGGACCGGTTCGGATAATCGCCACCGGTGGTGTTGGTGGTTGCCCCTGAGCGAGAATCGAGCTCGCGTCGCCGGGTTCGTAGCGCTAACCGCTGCGCCACCGCTCCCCACCACCACCACCGCCACCGCTCCACACCACCACCACCGCTCCCCACCACCACCACCACTCCCCACCACTACTCCCCACCACCACCACCGCTTCCCACCACCACCACCGCTTCCCACCACCACCACCACTCCCCACCACCACCACCACTCCCCACCACCACCACCACTCCCCACCACCACCACCACCACCACTCCCCACCACCATCACCACCACTCCCCACCACCATCACCACCACTCCCCACCACCGCTCCCCACCACCGCTCCCCACCACCACCACCGCCACCGCTCCACACCACCACCACCGCTCCCCACCACCACCACCGCTCCCCACCACCACCACCACTCCCCACCACTACTCCCCACCACTACTCCCCACCACCACCACCGCTTCCCACCACCACCACCGCTCCCCACCACCACCACCACTCCCCACCACCATCACCACCACTCCCCACCACCGCTCCCCACCACCACCGCTTCCCACCACCACCGCCACCGCTCCCCACCACCGCCACCACTCCCTACTACCTCCATCGTCCCCCGGCGTGGGAACGTGGAATTGACGCCACCTGCCCGCCCCCCACCCCATCCCCACCTCACCCGCCCACCACCACCCCCCCCCCACCACCACCACCCCCCCACCACCACCACCACCCCCCCACCACCACCACCCGCTCCCTCGCTGGCTAGCGGCGTTTGTGCCGTCACAAGGTTTTAATTTCAAAGAAGCGGGCGGTGATGTCTGTGTTGTGTGTGTGTAGTGTGTGTAGTGTGTCTGTGTTGTGTGTGTGTAGTGTGTCTGTGTTGTGTATGTAGTGTGTCTGTGTTGTGTGTCTGTGTTGTGTGTGTGGTGTGTCTGTGTTGTGTGTGTTGTGTGTGTAGTGTGTCTGTGTTGTGTGTCTGTGTAGTGGGTCTGTGTAGTGTGTGTTGTGTGTCTGTGTTGTGTGTCTGTGTAGTGGGTCTGTGTAGTGTGTGTTGTGTGTCTGTGTTGTGTGTCTGTGTTGTGTGTGTGTGTTGTGTGTGTAGTGTGTCTGTGTTGTGTGTGTGGTGTGTCTGTGTTGTGTGTGTAGTGTGTCTGTGTTGTGTGTTTGTGTTGTGTGTGTAGTGTGTTTGTGTTGTGTGTGTAGTGTGTCTGTGTTGTGTGTCTGTGTTGTATGTGTTGTGTGTCTGTGTTGTGTGTGTTGTGTGTGTAGTGTGTCTGTGTTGTGTGTGTGGTGTGTCTGTGTTG